GTCCACCTGCATCTAGAGAAAAACAAAACACTATGAGGGTCAGACCAGGCTGTGTCCTGTGTGCACAGGTCTTTTCTTCACTTGTTGATGTTAAAGAAAAAACAGATGGTAAATAGTGGTTGAGACAATGGCCCCGATATCTAGAAGAAATCTGTGGAAGAGCATAAGATTTTTGTGCAGGATTTTCAATTATTTTTGTTTGACAATTCCAAATACTTCTTAAGAAGAAGGCATTTCTCTTGAGGAAAATGCCTGCTGACACACAGTTGTAAATGTAGATACCATGTGAAACCATTTTTAAGTGGATAATGAACTATGACATTTGCCCACCAAGAAATTCTGTCAGTCACTTATAGTGTAGGTGGTAAGACGTATACATCTTTTTTTTTTTTTTTTTTTTTTTTTTTTTTCCGAGAGGCAGTCTCTCTCTGTCACCCAGGCTGGAGTGCCGTGGTGAGATCTCGGCTCACTACAAGCTCCGCCTCCTGGGTTCACTCCATTCTCCTGTCTCAGCCTCCGGAGTAGCTGGGACTACAGGCGCTCTCCACCACGCCCAGGTAATTTTTTTTGTATTTTTAGTAGAGACGGGGTTTCACTGTGTTATCCTGGATGGTCTCAATCTCCTGACTTCGTGATGCCTGCCTCGGCTTCCCAAAGTGTTAGGATTATAGGTGTGAGCCACCGCGACCGGCCGGTAAGACTTATACATCTTAATTCAGTTGAAACACAGAGAAATCGAGAGAAATACATTTTCCATTTTAGAGGAAGTAAGATGGCTTTACCATGTGAACCCTTGTGACTTCCTCCGAGGATGTCTGCCCTGGCACATCCTCCTCCAGGTCTTCCAGGTCACCTAGGAAACAGAGTCACTATAAGCACATGAGCTCCACTTACTGAATCCCTCAGGTGGTCTTGGAGCTGTGGACCTGGGGCTGGCATGTGTGAAAGGTGTGTTCACAGCACAGACTCAGCTGCTGCCGGTCCATCCTCCATGGTGGAGAGGGAAGGCAAATGGTGAAGAAAGGCATCAGGAAGGCCACAGAAGACAGAGCCTTGGTCCTGTAGCTAAGGCAACATCTTCAACGTGAAATAACCCATCTCAAACAGGGCCCACCACACAGTGTTTCCCTGTAGCATCTCAGGGCTCCTCCTTCCTAATCTGACCTGAGCTAACTTGCCCTCCCTTCTCGATCCCCTTGAGGTCATTTCCCCCAAAGGACCCACATGTGCTGCTGCTGCTGTTCATCATCTCTTCTGAAACATTTTGTAGTGCATAAAAGTCAGCTTTCTTCAAAAAAACTTAACTCTAGTCAAAAAAATTATGACTTCACTGAACCTTTGATTCAAAGAGAACTAAACCAAGATTTGAAAATATTCAATTATCCTACCATTTGAAGAGAACCCGCACTTAGCTTATTTGTCCTTCCACTCTTCCTTTTCAACACAATGTATGTGTCCCTGGAGTCAGCTGCTGCTCATGCTCACACTGACTCCAGCACTAGGACAGCCCATCATGGGGGCAGTAGGTGGGGGGCTAACGCTAACACTCTCCAAACTAGCTGTGCAGGAAGTCCCACCGAGGTGATGGACACCAGAACACCCCAGTTCTTCCTTGAGTTCTTATTCTGCACTGTGTATTGGATGTGTGGGCTGAATTAGGGCACATGTACACTTGTGGCAATCATGTTATTAAACATAGTAGAATATGTCCCTGATTTTTGTCTGCTTTTTTTTTTTTTTTTAGATGAAATCTCACTCTGTTGCCCAAGCTAGAGTGCAGTGGCAGGATCTAGGCTCACTGCAACCTCCGTCTCCCAGGTTCAAGTGATTCTCCTGCCTCAGCCTCCTGCGCAGCTGGGATTACTGGCACCTGCTATCACACCCAGTTAATTTTTGTGTTTTTAGTAGAGACAGTGTTAGCCAGGCTGGTCTCAAACTCCTGACCTCAAGTGATTCACCTGCCTCGGCCTCCCAATGTATTGGGATTACAGGCATGAGACACCACACCCTGCCTATTCTCTGCTTTTTAAACAGGAGCTGAGGAATAAACCGACCACTGAAGCAAAAGCCTGTGACCTCTCCATGTATGTTTCACATTTCTGACCACACCTAAATCCACTGTAAAACATACCCATTCTAATCCTGGGTTATGCGACCATTAAGACCATTCTATGATGATAGACAGTGCATAGAATTTCTGTATGTATTGTACTTCCACATGCACACCTAGGTGCCCAAAGTCACTGCCAGGCTGATGAGTTATACAACGGCTGTGAGATCGATGCAGAAGTCCATAGAATCAACCTGCCAACCACTCCTGATTTCACATTTCCCTCCTCTACTGAGAAAGCCAAGACTTTGAGAAATTCATCTCTGCATAACCAGTAACTTAGGACTGAGGATATTAAACTTCAGACAGCTGTGGTGGAGAATCAATGGGTTCATTTATGTAAAGTGTCCAGGGTGATGGACTACTCTTTTTTTTATTTTTTATTTTAAAAAAACATATAATCCTTGTGTGGTGCTTTGAACATGCACAAAAACTCCGAAAGACACTCACAATCACTGCCCGTAGACTCTCTCCTCCATACCTCCCAAACCTGATGCACACCACCTTTTCATGTAAGGGACACCACTTGCTGCAGAGACTACAGGAAGACGGTCACAATTCTGTCACAAAGTCTTACTGTTTTTCCATACCAAATTGCCTAAAACCTCATTTCTCTTAGGAAGCTCCAGAGAAATTCTCCACCAAACACAGGGTAAAAAGTGCCACCTTTCTGAAAAACTAAGATATTTCCTTAGCAAAAAACTAATCCCTGGGGCATGAGGGGTGAGACGAGGGAGATCAGTAGAATAAATACCTAATGCATGCAGGGCTAAAAACCTAGATGAGGGGTTGATAGGTGCAGCAAACCACTGTGACATATTTATACCTATGTAACAAACCTACACGTTCTACACATGCATCCCAGAATTTCAAGCAAAATAAAAACAATTAAACAAGTAAACCCATAACACATACCTTCTTCCTCAAAGTGTACTCTTTTCTGCAATTAGAGAAAAGAAAAACATGATGAGAGTCAGACCACACTGTGTCCTGTGTGCACAGGTCTTTTCTGCATTGTTGACATTAGAAAACCCAATGGAAATAGTGAAAATAGTCAACAGAAGGGTCCCAAAATAAAGCCTAGAGGACATGTGGAAAGGCACAAGACTTTTTTGTGAATGATTTTCAAGTTTATCTTCACTGCATGTTCACCATTATTTTCAAGAAGAAAGCATTTCTCTATGGAAAATGCTTACTGTCAAAGAGTTTTTAAGTGAACCTGTCATCTATAAATGTCATCTTGAATTCATTCTTGCTGGTAATAAACTCTCACTTTACAAATGTCCACCAAGACACTCTGTAAGTCATCTATAATGTACATGGTAAGATCACCATCTCTTACCTCAATTTATATAGAAACCAAGAGAAATAAAATTCCCACCTCAGACAAACAACAAAGAGTTTACCTCAACAGAGTCTAATAACCTCTCAGGTGGTATCTTGAGCAGACGCTCAAACAACAAGCCTTTGTCGCGCTCTAGGAAACAGAGTAATCATCAGCACGTTGGGTGCACTGAAGGAATCCATCATGCAGACTAGGGTGCTAAAAACACGGGGCTGGCACATGTAGACAAGGGGGGTGATGCACTACATTTTTTTTTAAACCATTAATCCTTGTGTGGTGCTTTGGACATGCACAAAAACTCTCAAAGACACTCACAATCACTGCCCGTAGACTCTCTCCTCCATACCTCCCAAACCTGATGCACACCACCCTTTCATGTAAGGGACACCACTTCCTGCAGTGACTACAGGAAGACGGTCACAAATCTGTACCAAAGCCTTACTGTTTTTTATACCAAACTGCCTAAAACCTCATTTCTCTTAGGAAGCTCCAGAGAAATTCTCCACCAAAAACAGGTTAAAAAGTGCCACCTTTCTGAAAAACTAAGATATTTCCTTAGCAAAAAACTAATCCCTGAGGCATGGGGGGCAAGATGAGGGAGAGCATTAGTATAAATACCTAATGCACGCGGGGTTGAAAACCCAGATGACAGGTTGATAGGTGCAGCAAACAAATGTGACATATTTATACCTATGTAACAAACCTGCACGTTCCACACATGCATCCCAGAATTTCAAGCAAAATAAAAATAAAAAAAGTAAACCTACAACACATACCTTCTTCCTCAAAGTGTACTCTTTTCTGCAATTAGAGAAAAGAAAAACATGATGAGAGTCAGACCACACTGTGTCCTGTGTGCACAGGTCTTTTCTGAATTGTTGACATTAGGAAACCCAATGGAAATAGTGAAAATAGTCAACAGAAGGGTCCCCAGATAAAGCCTATCGGACATGTGGAAAGGCACAAGTTTTTTTGTACATGATTTTCAAGTTTATTTTCACTGCATGTTCACCATTATTTTCAAGAAGAAAGCACTTCTACTATGGCAAATGCTTACCGCCGTAGAGTTTTTAAGTGAACCTGTCATCTATAAATGCCATCTTGAATTCATTCTTGCTGGTAATAAACTCACTTTACAGCTGCCCACCAAGACACTCTGTAAGTCATCTATAATGTACATGGTAAGATTACCGTCTCTTATCTCAATTTATATAGAAACGAAGAGAAATAAAATTCCCACCTCAGACAAACCAAAAACACTTTACCTTCAATGAGTAAGGGAACCTCTCAGATGGTACCTTGAGCAGACGCTCGCACAACAAGCCTTCGTCGCTCTCTAGGAAACACAGAGTCGTTGTCAGCACACTGGATGCGCTGAAGGAATCCATCAGGCAGACTCGGGCGCTAAAAACACGGGGCTGGCCCATGTAGACAAGGGGGGTTAACTGCAAAAACGGACCTCCTGCCAGAACATCCTCCTCGGTGATGAAGAAAGGTCAGTGAGACCATCACGGAAGCCATGGAAGACAGAGCCTTGGCAGCACACACAGTCACTGCCGATGCCGTGACAGTGTCTCATCCTTCCCCTATGCATTTTGAGGCCTGGGAAATTTCCACTTTTCTGGTGAAATGTGACAATGCTATTTATCTTTCCTGGGTCTACATATGCTTCTCTTGCATTTTCCATCCATTTTGTTGAACTTCTGACATAATTTTCGTAAAACATACAAAATGTATTATTGTAATCATTCAGTGCACACTTCAGGAGAAGACACGAGCAGAACCGCAGGAGCAGAGAAGAGAAAACCTCACTGTTTGAGGAGCCCACGCTCTTCTCCCCTGACCCTGGATTACAACCCACGCAGGCACCTGGGTAAGTGTGGGAACCCACAGACTACAGAAAATGAGCAGAAAGCCTTGCCACACTTGTGCTAGATTTCAGAACAGGAATGCTGGCATCAGATCATCACTGGGGCCCAAGATGGGCTGCCCAGGGCTGAGCTCTGGGAGTAGAAAGAATGAGGAGGACACAGTCCCTGCCCTCCCGGTGACCAGCCATGGCCAGGATTCCTCCACCTGTGAGTAGGAGACTACAGACTTCGGGACTGATGATTGCAAGTCTGTCCCAGAGAAACAGAGAAACTGATCTCCTATGGGTCACACGGGAAAGTTGCGAGGACCACCTAAACTCCAGAGCAGCCCCTCTCCCTTTGCTGAGCTCAGCCTCCCTTAGAGCAGGGTCCCCTCCTCACCTCCTGTGACACTAGCATTGGGCAGCTGCCCTCTCTGGGAGCTGAGGCTCCCTCCAGTAAAACGGAACTCCGGGCCAGGCCACTCTCGGCCAATAGCAGCTACACAAAGACCAGCTGTCCGGCGACTCCCAGAAGCTGATTGTTCCAGCCACAGGGAGATCAAGCGTGGCAACTACTCCGTGTCTGACCTGACCCTCCAGTCCGTCCCTGCTGATCATGTTCTCTCTGGGCTAAGTCGAACATTTCAGGCACTCACTCCTGTTCTCCGTCTCTCACTAATTCCTGGTGGTGCCTTTGCCATCAATACACAGGGAGATGGAGAAGACAACAAACAAGAAAGTAGCACCTCTGTCCAGGGTTTTAGGAAGATGGGCAATGTTCAGGCCAGCCACGAAGTCAGAGCTCAACTCCTCCTTCAGATGAGGCGTGAACGTTCGGGCCGTGCCCAGGTGATGATGTGGAACTGACTCTGCTGATGCTGCACCTCGGCTTCCCCATGGCTCTGCTGCCCTCATGCCTTCCTTCTGCTCCTCCAAATCATGTTCCTCTGCAGGCCCAGGCCAAGGCTGTACCTGCTCTCTCTCTCATAGAGCCCATTGGGCAGCTGTCTGTGAATTCTTAGAACCTCAACGTGGGTAAGACTGATTTGTACCTTTAATCAGTCAGCAGAAAGCCCCCTGAGTAGCCACAAAAAACTATATTCGAGACAATAAAGATGACTAGGGGAATTGGGTTATGAGGACACAGTTTCTGAGGTTAGTGAGGGACATTTTAAAATCACAACAGCCTGATTGTTTTAAAATGTGGGATAAGTATTGATACCTACAGAGCAATCAAATTTGATTTATACACAGTAAGTTTCCACCAAATGCATACTCCAAGAAAAAACTCAGGCTATAATATGGTTCCATTTATATTCCGATTCACCAAAACCAGCTGCATCCACTTGTTTTTTTTCAAAAGCCTTCAGGAGCAAACAACCAACCTTTGTCAACAGTCGGTTCAATGGGGACATCATGGAGCCTCTGCGGTACCACAGCTGAGTTTGTTTTTCCCCATCTGTAATGCATGAGCCACCCTCCATCCTGCTAGGAAGGCAAGTGCTCACCCTGCCTCTCAGACCCTAGGGCAAACCCCTTGGTTCTCTTTACATGTTGCTGTTTCTGAGCCGAGGACACACAAACCGTGACTAGGCTGAGGGATACAAGGCTGAAACCATACATGACCCTGGCATTATCTATTCTGAACCACATTATCTGATGGTCAACATGAGGCCTCAATGGAGAAAACTGGGGTGATTTCACCCCAACCCCACCTGCAGCCTCCTCTCTTCTCAGTTTCCCAGCAGAACTGGCTGTAGCACGAGGCTGCACCAGGCTGTAAATGCACAGGAAGGAGCCCCCCACTCTCCCTGCTCAAGATGGGTCGTGGAGGGTCACTTCTGAGGGCTTTGGTAGAAGAGGCTTGTAAAGGAGGGAAGGGGCTAGAGTGAGGTGTCATGACCTCTCCAAAGGCAGGAGGAAATAGAAAGGCCTGTGAAGAGGTGAGGTTTATTAGAAAATAAAGTATAGCAGGGAATTCTGAAGGAAAAAATAAAATGAGCAGAGATCCTGACACAGTTCTGTTCTATGGGTGCCCAGTGAGAATTTCCTGGGTGTGGACAGGATTTCTTTTAGGTTAATTAAAGTGTCCTGTGCAAGAAATAAATTGCACACACTGGAAGCTTACAAGCTGATTTTTTCATGTGCCTGTAATAGGACCACAACGGTGACGGAAATCTCTGTTGAGAATGTGGACACTAGTAAATCTGGGGATATGTGGTACAGAAACCGAAACACACACACCCAGACACACTGACCGTGGCACCGCATGAATTCACAAAAGACATGAGCCGGCCCTGTGCACAGCATCCCACCCCACCTTCAGGGATCGCAGTTGCTCCCAGGGGCTGCAGAATGTGGCCACTGTTTCTTATCTAGAAAAATCATTTCTCCCATCACAGCCTAGGTCCTCATTCATGAGAGGACGCTCAGCTCTGCCTGCCTGTCTACGGGAAAGCCAGCGAGGCAGTGGCACATTCCTCATCATCTGCGTGACTCATCAGTATGAGAGCGGCTCCACAATACATACCCTCCGGTGGAACTCCCGACGATTTCTGTAATGACAGAAAGTAAATTGCTATGAGCATCAGACTATGCTGTGTCCTGTGAGCACAGGACTTTTCTTTGCTTAGTGACATTAGAAAACAAGATGGAAACCAGTGTTCAAAGGAACCCAAAGAAGAACAGAGCAAATTGACTCATACTAAAGACACAAATTTTTCTCAGAGTGTGTTTCCTCTCAAGGCTGTGTTGGTTGGCAAGTAAGTGATTTTGCTCCAAAGAGAGAACAAAATTGGTAAGGTAAAAGCTCACTGCCTCACAATGTGTGACTGATGCTGTCATTTTCTCCCAGTCTTAAATCAAGCCTCAGTGGGGACAGACTCTCATAATTCTCCCCAAGGACATTCTGTCACTAATCTAAGATATACATGGTCAGATTCTCATACCTTAATTTAATCCAAATAAGATAAAGCTAAGAAAGCAACAGTTTTTCTCAGAGAAATCCAGGTGGCCTGACCTTCACATCCTCTGGGTCCTCCCCGTCTCGGTTGTCACTGGACGGCTCCTGATGTACATCTGTCGTCAGAACTAGGAGGATACAGAGTGACCGTCAGCACCGTGGTGGTGTTGTTCATGAACAATTCAGTAACATTGCTTAAGGTGGGTGTTGGGGAGGGTAGCAGGCACAGGAGAGACGCAGGGAAGAGAGGGAATCAGGGCCTTTGGGTTTCTACCTACAGGCCACCTGGTAAACATGAAATAGCCAGTCTCAAACAGGACACACCATGCACTGCAGGCTGTGTTTCCCTGGCAGCCTCTTAGGGCTCCTCCTTCCTAATCACACCTGAGCTAACTTGCCCTCTTATGGATCCCTGCCAAAGTCATTTCCTCCTGAAATCCACATGTGCTGCTGCTCTGTATATCATCCTTCCTAGAAGATTTTGTACTGAACAAGAAGCAACCTTTCTTAAAAGCGGAGATTTATTTCTAGCCAAAAGATTTTATTACCAACTTTCTGTTACTAGGAAACAAACCAAGATTTGAAAATACTCAATCATCCTACCATTTCACGATGACCCCTACTTAGCATGTGATATTTGTCCTTCCACTCTTCCTTTTCAACACGATGTGTGTGCACCACGGAGTGCACTGCTCCTCATGCTCACACTGACTGTAGCATTGGGACAGTCTGTCATGGGGAAAAGCAAGGGGGTGGGGGCGGGCACTGACCCTCTCCAGCCCAGCTCTGCAGGAGATTCCAGCAGGGAAAGTGGGTGCCAGGCTAACACCCAGGTTGATCCTTGAGATTTTATTGGATGCTATGTCTTGGGATTGGGTTGCACTGAATTTCTAAGACTTGCGGTGATTATCTCATTAAATACAATAGAATATCCCACTGATTATTGTCTGTGTTTGAACAGGAGCTGAGGGATGATCTCACTGCTGTAGATCAAAAGCCTGTGGACTCTGTGTGTTTTACATTAATGATCACACTGAAGCCCACTGTACAATGTACCTGCTCAAACCAACCCTGGGTGAGCTGAGCACTGACACCATCCAGTCATGATAGTGTTTGGGATCTGAATAGGTTTTCATTCCCCCACATGCACACACAAGTGCTGGAATAACTTGGCCGAGCAAGAAATTATACTAGGGCTTCGTGACAAATTCAGTGTAGTGGCTCATGGCATTAACCTTCCACTCATTCCCGACTTCACATGTGCCTCTTCCACTTAAAAGACCAAGAGCTTGGGAAATTCGTCTCTGCACCATGTCCATCTGAGGACTGGGGATAGTGAACTTATGTTCAGGTACAGCTGTGCTGGAGGATGAATGGGTTGATGTACGTAAACTGTGCAGTGGTGATGGAATTTTTCTTGAACATTGATCCTTGTGTTGTGCTTTGAACATGGGAGTATGTTTTCTGGGGAAATGCACACACACTCCCAAAGACATCCACAATCATTCCATATACACTCTCTCCCTGTCCCTCCCAACCCTGATGAACCACCCCACCTGACATGACACTGCTGCTTCCAGGGATGACAGTACCATGGTTACAGCTGTTTACTGGACTCTTAGTAGTTTTTGAAACCAAACTTTCCAAATCTAATTTCTGGCAGAAAGCTCAAACCAGACTGGCTCTTGAGCAAAAGCAGGTGAAACAGTGTCATCTTTGCAACACTAAGATTTTGAACGTAAACAAAGAGATGATCCCAGAATACGTACCGTTCGCCAGTGTGGCTGGGTCCACCTGCATCTAGAGAAAAACAAAACACTATGAGGGTCAGACCAGGCTGTGTCCTGTGTGCACAGGTCTTTTCTTCACTTGTTGATGTTAAAAAAAACAGATGGTAAATAGTGGTTGAGACAATGGCCCTGATATCTAGAAGACATTCGTGGAAAGGCACAAAATTTTTGTGCAAGATTTTCAATTGTTTTTATTTGACAATTCCAAATATTTCTCAAGAAGAAGGCATTTCTCTTGATAAAATGCCTGCTGACACACAGTGTGTAAATGTGGATGCCATCTGAAACCATTTTTTAGTAGATAATGAAGTCTGACATTTGCCCACCAAGAAATTCTGTCAGTCACCTATAATGTACACGGTTAAGATTTAGACATGTTAATTCAGTTGAAACAGAGAGAAACCAAGAGAAATAAAATTTCCATTTCAGAGGAAAAAAAGACTTTACCATGTGAACTCCTGTGGCTTCCTCAGAGGATGTCTGCCCTGGCATATGCTGCTGTAGGTGTTTCAGGTCACCTAGGAAACAGAGTCACTATAAACACATGAGATCCACTGAGTGAATTCCTCAGGTGGTCTTGGAGCTGTGGACACGGGGCTGGCGTGTGTGGAAAGGTGTGTTCACAGCACAGACTCAGCTGTTGCCGGTGCATCCTCCATGATGGAGAGTGAAGGCAAATGGTGAAGGAAGGCATCAGGAAGGCCACGGAAGACAGAGCCTTGGTCCTGCAGCTATGGCAACCCCTTCGACATAAATAACCCATCTCAAACAGGGCCCACCATACAGTGTTTCCCTGCAGCATCCAGGGCTCCTCCTTCCTAACCTGACCTGAGCTAACTTGCCCTCCCTTCTTGATCCCCTTGAGGTCATTTCCTCCCCAGGACCAACATGTCGTGCTGCTGTGTTTTTCAATTCTTCTAGATCTTTTTTTTTTTTTCTTTTTTGAGATGGAGTTTTGCTCTTTTTGCCCAGGCTGCAGTGTAATTGTGTGATATCCACTCACTGCAACCTCCACTTCCCAGGTTCAAGCAATTCTCCTGTCTCAGCCTCCTGAGTAGCTGGTATTACAGGCATGTGCTCCCATGCCCAGCTAATTTTGTATTTTTTAGTAGAGATGGGGTTTCTCCATGTTGGTCACGCTGGTCTTGAACTCCTGACCTCTGGTGATCCGCCCTCCTTGGCCTCCCAAAGCACTGGGATTACAGGCATGAGCCACCGTCTCCAGCTGGAACATTTTGTACTTTCTTCAAAGAGGAGATTTAATTCTAGCCAAAATATTCTATGTATTCACTAACCTTTTGTTTCAAAGAAGACTAAACCAAGAATTGAAACTACTCAATTATCCTACCATTTAAAGATGATCCCTACTTGGCATGTGATATTTGTCCTTCTGCTCTTCCTTTTAACACTGTGTGTGTGTGTCATGGGGCCCGCTGTTGGTCATACTCATACTGGCTCCAGGACTGTGACAGCCCTTCATGGGTGGCAGCAGGTGGGGACGCTGACCCTCTCTTACCCAGTTGTGCAGAAGATTCCAGCAGAGGAGATGGGCTCCAGGCTAACAGACAATTGGCTCCTTGAGATCTTGTTGGGTGCTGTGTCTTGGGTATATTTGCTACTGAAATGGAGCATTTCTAACGTTTGTGGTGACAATCTCATTAAATACAATAGAATATGTTCCTGAATGTTCTCTGAACTTGACCAGGAGCTGAAGAACACCCCATCACTTAAGACCAAAGGCCTGGCAGCTCCCTCTGTATGTTTCATATTAATGACTGCACCAAAGTCCACTATACAATGAACCTACTCAAACTCTGGACCAGCTGACCATTGAGACCATTCTATTGTGGTATACAGTGCTAGAGATCTTTATAGGCCAATATGCTTCCACATACACACATAGATGCTAAGGACTCTCTGATATGGTGACAAGTTACACCAGGGCCATGTGATAACTTCAGACTAGTAGCCCACAGCATCAACCTTCCACCCATTCCCGAGTTCATCTATGCCATTTCCATTTAGGAGACCAAAAGTCTGGAAAATTCATCTCTACATCATCTCCATGTGAGGACTGGGGATATCAAACTTCACCTTCAGCTACAGCTGTGGTGAGGAATGAATGGGTTGATTTTTGGAAAATGCAGTGGTGATGAAATTTCATTTGCAGGATATTAATCTTTGTGTTGTGCTTTGCATATGGGAACACATTTTCTGGGGGAAAGCACTGAAACTTGCAAAGACATTCACAATCACTCCACATTGACTCATTCCTCCATACCTCCCGACCCTGATGCCCAACAACCTCTTTTATCCAAATGACACTGTGCCTTCCAGGCACTAGAGTCAATGGTCACATTTCTTGACTGGGTTATTCACTTTTTAAGACAAAAGTGCTTGAACCTCATTTCTGGCAGGAAGTTCAAACCAGAGTGGCTCTCCAGAAGAAATGAGTCAAGAAAGTGTTACCTTTGTCAACACCAGAATTTTTCCTCAGCATAGCGGTGATCCCAGAATGCGTACTGTTTTTCTTTGTGTCTTTGTCCACCTGCATTTAGAGAAAAACAAAACACTATAAGGGTCAGACCATGCTGTGTCCTGTGTGCATAGGTTTTTCTTTTTCTTTTCTTTTCTTTTCTTTTCTTTTCTTTTCTTTCTTTCTTTCTTTCCTTCTCTTTCTTTTCTTTCTTTCTCTCTCTTTTTTCTCTCTCTTTCCTTCCTTCCTTCCTTCTCTTCCTCTTTCCTTCCTTTCTTCCTTCCTTCCTTCTTTCTCTTCTTTCTCTCTCTCTCTCTCTCTTTCTCTTTCTCTCTCTCTCTCCCTTCCTTCTTCTCTCTCTCTCTCTCTCTTTCTCTCTCTCTCTCTCTCTCTCTCTCTGCTGGAATCTTGCTCTGTCACCTGGGCGGGAGTACAGTGTCATGATCTTGGCTCACTGCAACATCCATCTCCTGGGCTCAAGCGATCCTGCTCCCTCAGCCTCCCCAGTAGCTGAGATCACAGTAGCTGGTCAGCACGCCTGGCTAATTTTTGTATTTTTCGTAGAGATGGGGTTTCACCATACAAGTCTTTACTTGGTGACATTAGAAAAGCAGATGGGAGACAGTGGTTGAGGCAATGGTCCCAAAATAAAGCCTAGAAGATACTTCTGGAAAGGCACAAGATTTTTTTTTTTTTTTTTGAGACGGAGTCTCGCTCTGTCACCCAGGCTGGAGTGCAGTGACCGGATCTCAGCTCACTGCAAGCTCCGCCTCCTGGGTTTACGCCATTCTCCTGCCTCAGCCTCCCGAATAGCTGGGACTACAGGTGCCCACCACCTCACCAGGCTAGTTTTTTGTATTTTTTAGTAGAGATGGGGTTTCACTGTGTTAGCAAGGATGGTCTCGATCTCCTGACCTCGTGATCCGCTTGTCTCGGCCTCCCAAAGTGCTGGGATTACAGGCTTGAGCCACTGCGCCAGGCCCAGGCACAAGATTTTTATGCAAGACTTTCAACATTGTTTTGGTTGTATAGTCACAATGTTGTAAGAAGAAAGCTTTTCCCCTAAAAAAATTCTTTCTGCCATACACTTCATAACTGAAGGTGTCATCTAAGAATGCCATCTGAGATCATTTCTTACCTGGTAATGAACCCTCACATTTTCCCACCAAAAAATTCTTTAAATCATCTATAATACACATGGTAAGATTTTCATATCTCAATTCAAATAAAATAAAAAAGAACCAAGAGCAACAGCATTTCCATCTCAGAAACATAAAGAAGAACTTACCACGTGAACACCTGGGACATGCTTAGATGAACGCTTCCGCGCCAGGTTCTCACTGTGATCTAGGAAACACAGAGTAACTGTCAGCATGTTGGTTCCACAGAAGGAATCCTTTAAGCAGCCTTGGGTGCTGGGGACAGGGGGAGGGGGATGGCATGTGTAAAGGAGGTGGGTTAAGGGCAGAAACTTGGCTGCCACTGGGACACCCTCCTTGGTGATGAGGGAAGGCAAATGAGACCATCAGGAAAGCCACAGAAGTCAGGGCCTGGTTCTCTGGCTAAGCCACCTCACCACTGTGAAATAGGCAGTGTTCACACAGGGCAGCACACAGATGCACTGCTGATTCCATGACAGTGTCCCATCACCCCCTTGTGCATTTTGAGGCCTGGTAAATTTTCTTTTTTTGTTGTTGAAATGTTATAATGTCATTTATCTTTCCTGGATCTACATATGCTCCTCCTGAACTTATCATCCATTTTATTGGCTTTAAAATCAATATTGTGGCCAAAATACATCATATTTATTATTTTAATGATCAAGTGCGCACTTCAGGGGCATTAGAGACATTCACAATTCTGTGAAGTAAAGTAAACATAATCCAAATCCAGATGTCTTACTTTCCACCTTAGGAAACGAGAGAAAAAAGTGTAGTGTAATGTAAACAAGGCAACCCCCATCCCCCAAAACACAGCAATATTTGCAGAAATCAATGTAATAGAAATAATAAACAAAGAAACTCAACAATACCAAAAGCTGCTTCTTAGAAAAGATCAATAGAATTGGTAAACCTCCAGCCAGGCTAATCACAAAGAAAAGATAGAAGACATGATGTACAAATAATATGAATAGAAGAGGAATTATCCCTGCTTATCCCATGAACATTAAGAAAATAATAACAGAATACTTTCTTTTTTTTTTTTTTTTTTGAGACAGAGTCTCACTCTGTCACCTAGGCTGGAGTGCAGTGGTGTGATCTTGGCTCACTGTGAGCTCCGCCTCCTGGGTTCACACCATTTTCCTGCCTCAGCCTCCCGAGTAGCTGGGACTACAGGTGCCCGCCACCATGCCTGGCTATTTTTTTGTATTTTTAGTAGAGATGGGGTTTCACCGTGTTAGCCAGGATGGTCTCGATCTCCTGACCTCATGATCCACCCGCCTCAGCCTCCCAAAGTGCTGGGATTACAGGCGTGAGCGACTGCGCCTGGCCAATAACAGAATACTTTCAACAAATCTATGCCTGCAATTTTTAAGTGCAGCAGTGAAAGTATATTAAAAAGCTTTAGAGTAGGAATGATAGGAAGCACAGTACCGTTGGAAGAGAACCAAGTAGGCAACTGGTGAGATTCAAATGTCTATGCCCACAAATTTCCTAGCTCAAATGAAATGGACAAATGCCTTCAAAAAGAGAAACTACCATAACCACCCAAAGAAGAGATAGACAATCTGAGTAGGCTTCTATCCATTATCGAATTTGATCAGTAAGTAATAACTTAAAAAAAAAAAAGCCCATATAATTATACTGGTGAATTCTACCTAACAATTACAATGGAAAACATAGTCTTACCAGCAAGTGATCAAAATTCTACATATTTACCCAGCTAAATTTAAAAATTATGTTTGTCTTAAAATCTGCACAAGAATGTAGGCAGCTTTATTCATAATTGCCCACACTGGAAGCAGCTGAGATGGTCTTCAGGAGGTGACAGAACCAGCTAACACTGTTTGATGACACCAATGGGCTATTGTTCACTGCTAAGAATTACTAAGCTGTTAAATTTCAAAATGATATAAAAGATCTTACATGTATATTGCTAAGTAAAATAAGTTAGTCATAAGTAGCTACATAGCCTATGATTCCAACTCTATAAAATTCTGGAAAAGGAAACCTATAGAGGCAGTAAAATCATCTATGGTTGTCAGGAATCCTCAGAAAAGAAGAAAGGAAGTAGTATGTGCAGCTCAGGTCATGTTTAGGGTGTGAAATTATTCCATCAGGGTGACAAACAACAATGTGAGTTTGTCAAAATCCGTAGACTGGACAACACAGAGTGAACCTTATGCTAACCCTGGACTTCTGTTCATAAGAATGTGTCAGTATTGGCTCAGTCATTGATGCTAACCCCGGACATCTGTTCATAAGAACATATCACTATTGGCTCAGTCATTGATGCTAACCCCAGACTTCTGATCATAAGAACATTATCACTATTGGCTCAGTCATTGATGTTAACCCTGGACTTCTGTTCATAAGAATGTGTCACTATTGGCTCAGTCATTGATGCTAACCCCGGACTTCTGTTCATAAGAATCTATCACTATTGGCTCAGTCATTGATGCTAACCCTGGACTTCTGTTCATAAGAATCTATCACTATTGGTTCAGTCATTGATGCTAACCCTGGACTTCTGTTCATAAGAATGTGTTACTATTGGCTCAGCCATTGATGCTAACCCTAGACTTCTGTTCATAAGAATCTATCACTATTGGATCAGTCATTGATGCTAACCCTAGACTTCTGTTAACAAGAATGTGTCACTATTGGCTCAATCACTGATGCTAACCCTTGACTTCTGTTCATAAGAATCTATCACTATTGGCTCAGTCACTGATGCTAACCCTGGGCTTCTGTTGATAAGAATCTATCACTATTGGCTCAGCCATTGATGCTAACCCTAGACTTCTGTTCATAAGAATCTATTACTATTGGCTCAGCCATTGATGCTAACCCTGGACTTCTGTTCATAAGAATCTATCACTATTGGCTCAGTCATTGATGCTAACCCTAGACTTCTGCTCATAGAATGTGTTACTATTGGCTCAGTCATTGATGCTAACCCTAGACTTCTGTTCATAAGAATGTGTCTCTATTGGCTCAGCCATTGATGTTAACCCTAGACTTCTGTTCATAAGAATCTATCACTATTGGCTCAGTCATTGATGCTAACCCTGGACTTCTGTTAACAAGAATGTGTCACTATTGTATCAGTCACTGATGCTAACCCTGGACTTCTGTCCATAAGAATCTGTCACTATTGGCTCAGTCATTGATGCTAACCCTGGACTTCTCTTAACAAGAATGTAGCACTATTGGCTCAGTCACTGATGCTAACCCTGGACTTCTGTTCATAAGAATCTATCACTATTGGCTTAGCCATTGATGCTCACCCTGGACTTCTGTTCATAAGAATGTGTCACTATTGGCTCAGTCATTGTTACAAGCATTATTACACTCATGTAAGATTGGCTCACAAAACAAAACTGAGGAAGGTGGGTATATGGAAATTTTTGATACCACTTCCTCCATTTTTAGGTTACTTCCAAACAGTTTGAAGTGATGTCCATCACTTTACAAACCTGGCAATACTGTCTCAGAAAAAGATCCTTTTTAGTTAATATTTTAACAATCAGCAAAATGTCTACAATTTGCACTGAGATGTTATTTACTATTAAAAGTAAACCCAAACCTGGAATGGAAATACACCTTTACTCCTGTAGTTGTAGCACTAATGATTGACTTAACACATTTAAATATGCACACGTGGAATAAAGAATATAGTATCACGATTTTACAATTGTCTGAAATATGAGACACTAAAGAATCTAGAAATCATATCATGAATGAACTGAACAACTGAATTTCCACGATACCTTCCGTTGATGCAACTCTAGGGTGTACACGGCTGCGATGCCAGTGATGGAGGATTCGCTTCTTATGCCTGTGGTGGTGTCTGACGGGGGATTTCCTGGGCACCTCAGGATCCACTACTTCATCCTGGATGGAACACGCTGGAAAATGAATTAAAATAAAGACAGCTGTTGATATCTTGCTGCAGAAGATCAGAGAAATGAGTCATTATTTATTCACAGCTTACATGTTTGATCCCATTGTTCGTCATCCTCAGAGCAAAGCCCCCTGAATCTGAGTTTGGCTTCAGAAAGGACTTACACTGTGGGTTGCACTTACAACTGTGCAGGCAAATGCCTGTATTGAGATGAGACATTACAGAAAGGTAGTAGATTGGAGTGACCAAGAGCGTAGGGTCTGGTGCATAGGATCTGAGCTCGAGGACTTTTGAGAAGCTGCTAGAACCTGAGGAAGTTCTATAGACCCCTCTGGGCCTCCGATCCCTAGTTTGAATGTGGAAATGTTGATAATGGCCTGCGTTATGTTAAAAGAGTAAAAATAGTTAAACAGACCACTTAAAGCCTTAAGACGGGTGCTTCCTAAGTGCCATAAAGTGTTCAATTGTTTCGTGTCTGGAAGAAGAACCCAGGCCCTTGGTAGTGGTTAATAGAGAAGGAATTGGGGACTCCAGGGCAGTGGAGGGTAAAATTCTCTTCATTCTTGACATGGGTCCCATGCTTTAGAACTCATGAAAATTTCTGTCCGAATTTCCCGTGGTGCCCACATCAGTCCAGAGAGATGAGCAGAGCAGGGGCTGCCACTCAGAGTTGATGGTTCAGGGACGTGAAATGAAGAGATTTGAGCGGCCTGCCCAGATTCACAGCACTGACCAATGATAGATCTGGGACAAGAATTTGGTTGATTTTCCGGGGACAGAGATCCCTGAACACCTGAGGCCTCTAAATCATGGCCTGGACCCTGAACCTGGAGCTCATTCCACTCCCTTTCTCAATCCTCCTGCACCAAGGGCTCTTCAGGAAGGTCGAGGTATTGGAAGAGGTGCTGAGTCCAGAAAAAAGCTCAAATCATTAAACAAAACATAACTCCTGTCTCTAGGTTTTAACTCCTGGGCTAAAATATGGCACTTTCCTGCAAATGAAGCCTCTCTGAGGAACAAATGCAAATGTCTGGTCATCCTACCCAGCGCCCGTACTGTCAGCTCTCTGGCAGTGAGCAGCCCTCCATGACCAACTGACCACACCAAGGGACCAAGTTCTGCTTGGCCCCCAGGGTAGTTCGGAACTTAGGACATTCCAGACTAACTACCACTCGATGGCTTTGCCAAGAATAAACTTCCCTTCAACTGAACCATCCTGAACAAGCAATTAATGGGAATGAACTGAAAATGTGGCACTCCAGTTGGGTTTTCAGTGGTTTCTTCTGTATGTAGTCTATGAAATAGTGTTTAAAAAAAAAAAAAAAAAAAGGCCAGGCGCAGTGGCTCACACCTGTAATCCCAGCACTTTGGGAAGCCCAGGTGGGCAGATCACAAGGTCAGGAGTTCAAGACCAGCCTGGTCAATATGGCGAAACCCCGTCTCTACTAAAAATACAAAAATTAGCCAGGCATGGTGGCAGGCGCCCATAGTCCCACCTACTTGGGAGGCTGAGGCAGGAGAATCGCTTGAACCTGGGATGCAGAGGTTGCAGAGAGCTGAGATCATGCTACTGCACTCCAGCCCGGGTGACAGAACAAGACTCTGCCGGGGGGGAAAAAGGCGGGGGGGCAGGTGCTGTGGCTCATGCCTGTAATCCCATCACTTTGGAAGGCCAAGGCAGGTGGATCAGGAGGTCAGAAGTTCAAGATCTAACTTGCCAACATGGTGAAACTCTGTCTGTACTAAAAATACAAAAATTAGCCAGGCGTGGTGGCGGATGCCTGTAATCCCAGCTACTCTGGAGACTGAAGCAGGAGAATTGCTTAAACCCGGGAGGTGGAGGTTGCTGTGAGCTGAGATCATGCCACTGCACTCCAGCCTAGGCAACAGAGCAAGACTCTGTCAAAAAAAAAAAAAAAAAAATGGCATTGGAAACAGTGTATTTTTCTAGAGGAAAATATTTGAGGCAAAAATCTTGATAGAAGAATAAAAAATACAAATTGAGTAATAAAACTCTAAAACATATTTATAAATCTGTAGACAAATGGGAGTTGGGGAAATAAAAAAAAATCAGAATGACATTTAACATACAGGAAAACTGGCCCACCTGAAGAAACTGCAGTCAGAAGATAGAAATGAACATACTTACCATTGAGGCAGCAACTACAAACGTTTCCCATGGTGAGTCCTCGGACACAAGTAAGCTGCGTTTCCTGCCAACGCTTAGTTGCCAGAATGGCAGCTAAAATGAAAGGCAAGACCTATATCATCAGGTCACCTCAGCGACAGGTCACAGTAGAATTTTCGCAAGCGCACGTGTCACAATAGCTGTGATCTAGACCAGTCCATGGTCACATCGACAAGGGGTCACTTAGACTCCATGTTTCATTTCAAAAACTGAATCCCAGACACACAGTATTATTCTGTATGTATGAAACAAACATTAAAGGAGGAAAAAGATCTGCCTCTCTACTATATTTGATAGTGAAAATTTCAGAGTAAAGATAAGAAAAGCTAATACATTGAGAATAAAGGGAGATTCCAGGCTGGATGTAAAATGCCATCCCCACCCAATTCTACTATTCCCAAGTCACCAGAGAGTCCTAGCTTCAACAATTCTAAACTAGTTCCAAATTAAATTTAAAATGCATTAGTGTAAGTTCAATTTTAAAGTCAATCTCTAAGAATATAATTCATAGTAATAAAAAAGATATGAAATGATTCAGTACAAATTTCCATCACTGTTGATTCATCACACGTTTTAAGAACTATTACATCAAATGGGTCATTGATGAGGTATAAAAACTGCATTAATATAGATGTTGCAATTTTTTTCAGGGATTATCTAATTGAAGGGGTGTTTGGGAAGGAATTGAAGGTATTCGGAAAGGAATACATATTACCTGTATAAATGGAGAATTTTAATTCTCAACAACTGAATAGAAAATTGTGCAGGTGTGTACATATAAATATACACACATATGAGAGAGAGAGAGAGAGAAAACGTAATTTAAAAATACTAGACCACAGATTTATATCTCTGCCCAGGCTGGAGTGCATTGGCACGATCTTGGCTCACTACAAGCTCTGCCTCTCGGGTTCATGCCATTCTCCTGCCTCAGCCTCCTGAGTAGCTGGGACTACAGGCGCCCGCCACCATGCCCGGCTAATTTTTTTGTGTTTTTAGTAGAGACGGGGTTTCACCGTGTTAGCCAGGATGGTCTCGATCTCCCGACCTCATGATCCACCCACCTCGGCCTCCCAAAGTGTTGGAATTACAGGTGTGAGCCACTGCGCCCAGCCTCCGGAAAAAAACATTTTAAAAAACATAATATGTTACGAAGAATGAAAAGGAATGAGCATAAGGCTTTCCTTCCTGGTGCCACCTAAGTGTTCACAGTAAATGAAAATAAATGAGTCTTTTACCCTGGTAGCCAAAGCCCTTTTACAAAGCTTTGTCATGGTGTCAGTGCTATATGATTGTTTAATTAACAAATCTGGAAAGATGTGCAGAAATTTAACAGTTGTTACTTCCAGAGGCAGAAGCTGGCAGGAGGCAGAAGCTGGCAGTCTGCAGAAGCGGAAAAGACAAGTCCAGATGGCAGTGTGCATTCTTCTGTGCCTTGTGAACGTCCTGCAAGTGTGCTATTCCTGATGTCTTTACTGTGATTTCTTTTTAATAAAAAGAACTAATTCCTCCTAATGCTGGTAGGAAACAAACATTTCAATTTGCTAATGCTTCACAGGGACAAGAATTCAGGCAGGACACAGAACAGAGAGCTTCCTGGTGCTTGTTGATGTCTGGGGACTGCAGAGAAGTCTTATGGAGTGGGATTAAATTCACAGCAGGGGGCTGGAATCATCTGGATGTGCCATCATGCACAGGTCTGCAGAGGAACTTGGGCTTGGCTGGAGAACACACAGGACTTCCCTGGGCTTCCAAGCAGCAGGCAGTCTCAGGACATTCAGAGCTTTGAATTGGTGGCCACGGGCTTCACTGGTGAGTGTCCCGAGTGAAGCAGGCAGACACTCATGGCGTTTCTAACATAATTGTGGAAGTTACACAACATTACTTCCACATCATCTGCCAGTGAAAAGCAAGCACTAGTGTTAAGTCTGATTAACCACTGAGGGTGGGCAGAGACGCCACCTCTCAAAAGGAGAATAGCAAAGAAACTGCAAACATGTTTTAAAAGCCACGTGCATATTCCAGCTTAAAAATCTCCAGTACAGAGATACCTCTCAGATATGTGAGAAAGGGCCTGTCACTCTATGGCATCGGCCAAGAGTAAGTTAAGTGTGGGTTTCACTTATGCATCAGCCACTGTGAGTTGATTGACAAGTAAATACAAACATTCAGGGAAACTAACCACAGCGCATTACAGGGTAACAGGTAACAAAAGGTAATGTAGACCTGCTATGTTGCTCTACAAAGAAACCATTTCATCCACTCTGTTCACAAGATTTATGCATTTGGAAATGGAGAGACTTTTTTTCTCCACTTTAGATTCAGGGGTACATGTGCAGGCTTGTTACATGGGGAAACCGCGTGTTGCTGAGGCTTGGTATTGGACCTAATTAAACTAAAGAGCGTCTGCTCAGCAAAGAGACTTTATTTCTTATAAAAGGTTGCACACAGCCCACAAAGTGGCCATCCTGCAGGCTGGGAAGTGTGCCTCCCACCGAGGTAAGAGCCTGGCACGTGGAAGGAGGAAGAGTTGGGGCAGGAGCTTTACTCTGGACAAGCTGGCTAAATAGAAACTTTCAACAGGTTGCACGAGGAGCCAGGAATATTCATGACAGTGGTCCTGATGCATGGGTACAGACCAAACATGCGTGTAACACACGACCCATGTTCACTTTGGGGTGAAGACAATATGTATTACAAAATGTAATTACAAAATGTGTTACAATTAGGCTCTTTACCTCAAAAGGTCTTTTCAGGACACAAAGGCACCCAAGTGCACAGCCTCTGTAAACTGGCCAGAATCAGTCCATGGTGGGTGGGCTCTTAATACAAGAAAGTTACTAAAAACAGTCTCCTGTCCCATCAGAGCTGTAGTTACGGCTGCTAGAACAGGGTTTGGGGGCCAGTCAGTCAGTGTCTGGTGCTGAGTTACCATGGTTTTAATAGTGCTTATTTAGCTGCTAGAGAAAAAGAAAGCCCTGTGGCAATCAGAACAGTTTATTCTTTAAGTTGAGGCGTGTGTGACTCAACCCTTGCCTGGCATGGCCTTAGGTGCTGTTTGTAATTTGGTACCTTGGTGTCACAAAGCTTCCATTCTGTCAGTCTTACGATCTCTACTGCAGCAGGCAGGCTGGGCGGCTGCGTCTAAACATAAAAGGAAGGCGTATAACAACGCATCAGATCGCCCAGCCCGTCATGGCCCAATGCCCAGCACTGAGCAGGTAAGGAGCAAAGGCCTGGGGCAGGCTGGACTGGGTGGTCCACAGGAGCCTCATTTTGGGAGCCAACTGCCTCAGTTCATGGCTACACAGCCCAGCTGCACTCACTTACAAGTCAGTCCCTCCATCTGGAAAATCCGACAGCCTGTCCCATTCCTAGTGCCCTTAGTTTAAACCTCTGTCAGACCATCAAGAAAACACTGGTCTCTGGAGATGCATGGACAGCCTAGTGCATACACTGGGCACTCAATAAATGCCAAGGGCTACCTCCCTGGTGTCCAATAAGGACAACTGTCACTATCATGGCAGTGCAGCCTGAGTCCCAGACTTCAATTCCTTCTTCCCGAAATGTAGAGCAGGGGACCCAGGGTGGGGTGCAGGGCCCCTGCAGACTCCTCTCCTCCTGGGCCCCCAGCTGGGAGAGGGGTGACCTGGAGGAGCAGCGGGAGGAGGAGCAGAGATGGGAGCTGGCCCTAGCCCTGAAGGTGCCACCATCTCTGCATCGTCCTTTCTTCTGGAGGCTTCTTCCTTCAAGACTCTGCCTTAGCCACCCACTGCACAACACAGACATCCCTCTCCTCATTCCGTGCCAAGACACGGAGGCCCCGAATTTGCCTCTCACACTCATGGTGGAACCATGACCAGGACCTGAGCCTCCTGACACCCTTAGAAGACACACAGCCCTCTGCCACGGGTGGGAAGGGGTCAGGGCATGGCTGAGGTTTCATCAGCAACTGGGCACTAGGGGAGCCAGCACTCCAAGGCTGCCTTCTGCACACAGGCCCAGTCTTCTGCTCTGAGGGGCCTGGGCCCCAAACAGCACCACGACCACCACCCACACTTCCACACCCGCCAGCCCAGCTGTAGCAGCTTGGCCAAGATAATGGGCGCTCCTGCTCAAACCAGATTTCCCAGCTTTTGCAGAGTTCATCACCAGCCTCGCTAGCAGTGACTTCCCACTTCTATGCAAAGGAAACTGCCAACAAGGTTACAATCAATTTTTTTTTTTTTCCTAGAGTGAGGCCTGGCTAGAAAAGCGCAGGCCACCCTAGTGGCTGGTGAATAACCTTGAGAGGGTCACCAGACCCCCTCGGCTGCAGGGCTCCAGAGCCCTCCCCTGGCTGACCACATCATGCACTGGCCCTAACCTAGGGTGACGAGGCCAAGGCATCACCAGCTTTGACCCTGGTGCCTCTTGCCTGGACAACTGTCCCCTGTGCACTCAGCAAGGCACATGCTAATTTAACCCAATCTGTCAGCCCAGGTGCCTGGAGCTGAAATGGCCTGCCCACTTTTGCCCCGCCCCAGCCCCCTTTCAACATGAACCTTGAGAGTCTGTGGTGCGTTCTTCGAGAGTGGGCTGCTCCAGGTGCTTCACCCACATCACGTACTTCATCAAAACCACTGTCAGAGGTAGGGCCTGTTAGGATCCCTGTCTCACAGAGGAAGAAACTGAGGCAGAGACAGGGTAGGTACCCCACCTGAGGACACAGAGAATTATTCCCTGAGGATAGAGAATAAGCTAGAACGGAACCTGGTGGCAGGCCTGGGCTCTTCCACTCACTGACAGGCATGCAGAGAAGCCAGGGCACCTTGAGCTGCCATCCCTGTGCCACTTACCCACCTGCTTGCAGCCCAGGTCAAAAACATCCCCATAAATAACCGTCCACAGCTGCCCTCAGCCTCCTCTAGAAGGCAGGTGCCCCAGAAGCTTCCTCACAACCTCTTTGACGTTTCAGTGGCATGTGGGTGGCTGAGGAGCCCTGAAACCAGGTGAAGGTCCGGGAAGGTGAGACAGGGATTTAGCTCAGGCAGTGCCCACCAGCAGGGGCAGGCACTGCAATGGGCACCTACTTGGGAGGAACACCTGACGAGGTTTCCCTGATGCTGGATGCACGAGGCCTCACACCTATCCTTGCTGGACACAGATAACTGAGTTTCAAAGGGTTCTTCCCTCAGCCCTGCCAGGACCTGGTGCCACCAAATAAGAACGTGGATGTGACAAAGTCAAAGAGCTGAGTGCCTGTGCATACCAGTGACATGGGAGTTACAGCTGGGGATGGGTCAGGCAGCCCCGGCAGAGCAGCTGCCACATAGGGCACCCCCTGCAGTGACAGTATCAGATGTGTCTCCAGCTCCCCAGGGTAGACTGTGGGGTACAGCTGGGCTCCTCTGAGACCCACTGCAGCTCTGGGGCAGAAAGGGGTCTGGACATATCGTCACCACAGGCTCAGAAGAGCAATGGGGGTGAAGTGGCAGTCAAGGTCCCAGGTGGGGCTGACTTGTACTCTGGAGCAGAGTCCAAGGGGAGCTTGGGAAGTGAGCACAGAAAAGGCCTGAGGGTCTCGTGGGGTGGAGGGTGAAAAGAAGAGATCTGGAAACCTCTAGAGTAGGTTCCAACTCAGCACAGACTGAAGGTCAGACAAGCTCAGGGCACAGCCAGGCAGCCCAGTGCTGGGGCACAAGTCACCTGCATCTGCACACTGCTATCCAACCTCAGAGCCCCAACTTCAACACACCTCAACTTCAAGGCAAAAACTTTGCATACCTGGTCTGGGCCCAGTGAGATCGAACGTGAACATCTGGCCTAGGGCCAACGAAGATAGCTGTGAACACCTGTGCTGGGACCAAGGAGGATGGCTGTGGACATGTGGGCTGGGCCCAAGAGGACAGCCTGGAATAACTGGGATGGGCCCAGAACGCATGGCTATGAACACCTGGGCTGACCCCAATGTGGACAGCTACAAACACCTGGTGTGCGCTCAGGAGGACGGTTCTGTTCATTTTGGCTGAGTCGAATGAAGACGGCTGTGAACATCTGCACCGGGCCTAATGAAGACAACAGTGAACAGACGGGCTGTCCCCACTGAGGACATCTGTGAAGCCCTGGCCTGGGACCATGGAAACTGCTGGAAACAACTCAAAGAAGTCTTGTGAGGAAATCTATGAACAACAGGGCGAGGCTCAATGGGGACAGGCGTGGACACCTGGGCTGGGCCCAGTGTGGATGGCTGTCAATACCTGAGATGGCCTCTATGAAGGTGGCTGGCACCAATAAGCACATGTGTGAACAAACTGGCTGCCCTCAATGAGGACAGCTGTGGACATCTGGGCTGGCTGTCATGTGGATGACAGAGAACTCCTTGGCTAGTTTAGATGAGGACCACTGTGAACACTGGTGAGGCCTGGATGAAGACAGCTGGGAAGCCCTGGGCTGGACACAATGAAGAGAGCTATGAATAGGTGGCCTGGGGCCAATGAAAATGGTCCTGGGCTTGATGTCACTGAAGGGAACTGTGAACTCCTGGGCTTGCCTTGATATTGATGGCTATGAATAACTGTTGGTACAAAAAAAACTGAGCTCATACAAACGAGGAAGGCTGTGAACCTCTGGGCTGACCTTGGCGGGGATGGCTGTGAACACCTGGCCTGGGCCCAGTGAAGACAGCTGTGAAGAGCTAGACAGGGCCCAGTGAGGTCAGCATGGAGCTCCTGGGCTGGCCCAATGAGGGTGTCTGTGAACACTGGTCTGGGCCCACTGGCGACCAGGACTAACACCTGGGCTAGCTACCAATGAGGACAGCTGTGAACACCTTGGCTGGGCCCCCTAAGGACAGCTTGGAGTGTTTGGGCTCGGCCCAAAGTCAACAGCTGTGAACCCCTGAGCTGGGCCCAGTGAGGGTGGCAATGAAACCCTGGGCTGGGCCAGTGAGGGTGGCAATGAAACCCTGGGCTGGGCCAGTGAGGACAGCTGTGAACACCTGGCCTGGGTCCCAAAAGAACAGGCTGAGAACACCTGGGCTAAGCCAAAATTACATATTTCTCAACTGAACTGAAAATCTGCTCTAAGATGCTTTGAACTTCAACATACAATATAGAAAGGAAGTAAATGAAAAGCAGTTCCGTCCTTCTCACTCCTCTGTGATTCCTCACACGCTACTCTTTGCCTTGCAAACAGCCCTCCTCTGCCTCCCCACATTAACTGTGGTCATCGCCAAAACTCACTTCAAACACTTACCAGTCCCAAGAATCCTTGCTTTTCACACAGCACTTAGCATAGTATATTGTAATCATTTTATTGCTTCCCTCTGAAACCAAGAGCTTCTTGAGGGCAAGGGCTATATCTTTTGTCTCTATAGCCCCAAAGACCTAAGACATAGTAGCAAATACTTTAAGCTTTTTTACATAAATTAATCATCTAAATTATTATATCTAGAGCAGTGTTTCTTAAACTGTATTTTAAAGAATATTTGCTTTACCAGAAGTACCCCAAGACAAAGACTACATGACCATCTGCATTTGAGAAGTTACAAAACTATTTCATGTCTAATAATCAAGAAATGTCTTGAACTTTACCTAATCCCCATTTGACAATAGTTTTGTGGCAAACATTAACAATTGAGGAATTAAGAGTTTCAGAGATACTGTTGCCAGAGCTTCCCAATAGAGGTGAAGGTTTCCTCTGTGTGGTACAAACTTGCTTGATTCACTTCTGTCAATGGTGTCGGGATCCCAGGTGCTAATGTCAGGCACTGCTGCTCCAAATGGGTCACTAAGGAAATAAGCTCTGAATTAGGAGAGATTGGCTTCAAACGCACTTATATTCTTTATTATTAAATAGTCCATTGGTTTTTTTCCCTAATATAAGAGAATAGATTTTTATCTTAACTGTTAGAAAGCTTAGTATGTTCTGCGTAAGAGAGGTTTAAAAAACTTAAAAATAAATCTTAAAAAAACCCAAAGCTCAGTAAGAAATTCTATTCTCAATTCTAATGGTAATCTTGGGGCCCTAATGCAACTTTACTTTTTAAACCCATTTTTATTGGTTTCTATTTAAATTGTATTTAAAATTAGTTTTTATTTTAGGCAAAATATAAATCAGAAATAAAAACACAATGGCCTGTCAATAAAATCTCATACGGATCCGTATGGATTATCTCTAGCATAACAAAAGCCAATAAGTCACTTGCGTTTTTAGGGAAGATTGCTGAGGAGAAAGATGTAATGTCTGCAACATTCATAAACTGTCCACCAATAACCAGGAACAACCTAAAAAGGCTTCTAGACATTCTTATCGGTAGATGATGATTTGTGGTATAGATAAAGAAGAAGTTTTAAAAACTTCTAAATTCTAAAATTCAACCCCATAACTGAGGAATTTGTATAATCTATAGACCATGTATTATAAACAAATACACGCTGACTTAAAAACCTTGAAGTCTTTATCAAAATATACTACAGCCTAGGAATTGTAAACCCAAATATTTACAAGGACAAAGGAAGGTTCCCTGAGAAAGGGAAACATTGATGTGGGCACAGTAGCAAGTTGGAGAATATATGCCTTCTGTAAAGGGGCAGCCTCTGCACAGCAGGCCAAACAGTGATAGAAACCCAGGGGATGCTAGATTTGATTTTTTAAGACAAGCCTGAAGTCCCGATTTCTGCACACGTCTTCTAAATTTTACATGTTGACTCAGTTTATAGAGGAAAACAAACAAATCTGTGCACCACATTTAGAATACAGTCCTTATGTTTTTATATTCGCTATGAATGTGTTACTAAATGGTTGTGTATAATCCAATTATTTGCATGTAAAATATTTTCTTTCTCAAGTATCATATGTTTTACAAAAAAATCAGGCCCTCATATATAATAGAAATTGCTAAAAAGACTCATAATACCTGCTTCAAGAATTTTTCTAACATTTATTCATTTAAAATATGTTTGTATATAATTTTCCCAGATTGTTAACCAAATGCATAGTTTGTACACAGGACCGCCAAAACTAAATTATTAAATAATTCCTATCTGTTTTCTTATTAACTTTGTGGATTTCATTGTTTAAAACTGACATCCTGGTTATGCTAAAGCTCTATAAACTTAACAGACAGACTGAGATAGTTCATAATACAGCTTCAACTAAAAAAGAAGTTTAGGATTTGCTTCTATTCTAATTGAGAAAACCCAACTTGTAATGAACATTTGTTGACATATAATCACCTATATGGTGACAAAGGGACATGAAATCATGAAAGGGTTAGCTTCTACTTATTGAAAGATTACCTGTAAGTAAATTTCTGAAGACTCTCTGAATGGCACTGAATCATTAATGGTGGGAAGAAAAAGGTGTTATTCTGTTAGCCAAGATGGTCTTGATCTCCTGACCTTGTGATCCACCTGCCTTGGCCTCCCAAAGTGCTGGGATTACAGGCGTGAGTCACCGTACCTGGCCAAGATGGCCATTTATTGTAAGTTGCTTTAGTTTTGTTTTTTAAGATAAAGCCTATTTCCAGGGCATATTTTCTTCCCTGTGTTGTTTTACATTAATTAGGAAATAAAAAACCCTGCATTAAAAAAAATTGAAAAGATTTTATCTTTAACAAATTCACAAATATTTTCCAAAGTGCATTTTAAAAAGCCGTGCCCTTTAATGCTCCTTTAAAAGTATCAATATTTAAAACAAAATCTTATGCAATTATTTCAAAATAACTTAATTTGCATTTGCATTCAGGGAATGCTTGAGCTTCCAAATACAAAAAATGGACCCTTACCTACGTCAAGGTTAAAACATATATTTTGAAAAGAAAGTTGTTAATCTATACCTTGTCCAGTGCTTCAATATTTGCATCATGGGGAAGCAGTTTTTCTGCCAATGACGTACTCTCATTACACTCAGCATAATGGAGAGCAGTGTTGCCGTAGATATCCTTAAGATTTGGATTGGCGCCATGTTCTAGCAGAGTGTTGGCACAAGTCTCTTCCTGGCAATGTACAGTCTGCCCATATTAGATCAAGAAATAGATTGCAAATTCTAAGAATTCAAAATACAGATTCCACAGGTTATACCAACTAGTTACATGTAAATGAGATGTATTTGTTTTAATTCTATATGTGTAAATCAAACCCACGTCATGCTAAAGAGTTGGCTACTATATACCTGTATCAAAGGTGTACTGTTTTGATTGTCACAAATGTCAGTCTGGCATTTTCTGCTCAGCAGGAGAGTGACCACTTCCCCACAGGCATTAGCACAGGCCAAATGTAGAGCAGTTCTATGAGAGTAAGAGGACTTTTTAGGAAATTGGAGTGCAATATCTCAAAACACACAATAATTCACATAATTGTAAACACTGAAGAGCATGTTTTTCCTCTGCCTTGAAAATAAATACTTAATTTTTCTTGAGTAAAGTACAATACATATTAGCTCTTATTGTTCACTGCCTTAATGAAAACAGCAGCCTATTTGAATAGAAAGAGCTCACTCTTTGGATTCAGTTCAACTAGGGCTTGAGTCCTACGTTAAACTGTCATTTACCAGGTATTGCTTAGCCTTTCTGTGCCTCAACTTCCTCATTAACAAAGATGACAATAGTAGCCATCTCATAGGATGCCATCATGATGCTTAAATGAGAAACTGTGTAAAGTATTTAGAAAAGTCCCTACAGCAACAACTCAATAGTTAGATTTTTGTTTTTTTGAGACTAGGTCTCACTCTTCTGCCCCGGCTGGAGTGCAATGATGTAATCACGCCTCACTGTAGCCTGAAACTCCTGGGCTCAAGTGATCCTTCATCCCTAGTCTCTTGAGTAGCTGGGACTACAGATGTGCACCAGCATGCCCAGCTTCTAATTTAAAATGTTTTGTAGAGTAAAACTCTCACTTTGTTGCCTGGGCTGGTCTCAAACTCCTGGCATCAAGTGATCCTCCCACCTCAGCCTCCCAAAGTTCTGGGATTACAGGTGTGAGCCACTGCACCCAGCCAGATATTATAATTATTATGATTACTACTACTTAACAAAAGCATTTTAATTAAGTAAAATGATACAATTATACCTATTTTGTAGGATTACTTAAAGAGTAGGTCATATTCTAACACTTATGATATTGCAATGCCACTTATCATTCACGATTTGTTACAACTATAATTGGTAGCATTTTAAAAATGATCTTACTGATATATAAAATAATCGGGCATCACACAATCCATGAGACCTTACATTAAGTAGAATACGGTATACTCAGCAGGTCTAGGGCAGTTCTAGGCATGTAACTGGCCCTTAAATACATTTTAGTTCTTAAAGGGACTATGGGGAAAGAGCACTGAAATAACAATCATGCATTTTTAAAAAAAAATTAATTCTTTGATTTTCAAACAACCTGAAGCCAAAGGAAACTCAAGATTCAAATGAATAGGTACGGCTCATTTTATTCACTACTTATATTTACAAAATATACACAAATCAGACTTTCCAATGATTCATATTAGTATTTAAGACTGATAAACTTTTGATAGGGCATTTAAAGGTTATCTTCTACTATTTTCTAACTTCACAAATGCTTTTGTTTGAAAGGCGGGAGATAAAGTGCCAGTGAGATGAAGTCCTAATATTCCCATTTGAAATTTCTCAGCTTGTGCAGGCAGGACAGGTAAATATGAAGTTTTTAAGGATGAGAGATAGCAGAATATGTCTGCTATATAATATATATATATATATTATATACATATATTTCCTGAGAGATAGCAGAATACGTCTGCCACGTAACAGGCACTCAGGTTATGTTCGATGAATAAATGGAATGAAAGAATGGATAAATACAGTTGGGGGGTTCAATATTTTTAAATAAACTCATATAAAGCAATATTTTCACAACAGTAACTATTTATATTTTGTTATGTTTATTTTTAAAGAATACAAGTAAAATGAAATGATTCATCTATCATTGCTTGTATATATGAAATGAATGTATATATAAGAAAAACATATGTACATAATAAAATACATACATAATAAAATCTGGAAACACAGATAAAAAATTCCCTTTTACTTCTGAAGAGGCTACAAGTTCAAAGATGACAACACACACAAATAATAATGATAAAAAATAGAAAGTGATATTTTTATCTGTGCAAAATTCATATTCCTCTCTTCCCAAGGATTATTCCATTAATAATAAACTTTTACTAGAAGTTTTGTATATGTTCACTGCAGCAATCAGAGTTAAGAAAAAGGAAAAAAATCTTTACTTAAAACACAAATGCCCAGAAATTACACATTTTATCATACTTTGTACATATTTTTTGCTAACACAAGACCATAGTCTGTTTCTGTATATGTATAATCAAACGGATTCTTTTTTCCTCACTGGCTATAACAAAATACATCTTCATACATCAACATACTTCTGTATCTATTGTCACCTTCAGTGGTCATATATTATTGCATCCCATGGATGCAACTGAAATTTATTTATAGGATCCATTCTAGGGGTTCTTTTCAAAATAAGTGCTGTGAAAAACAAAGAGCATGTATCTCTATTTCCCAAGGGTATTCAGTAAAATGGAATTGAAGGGTAACGGGCATACACATTTTTTAAATATAGTACTCACCACCATGTTATGTATTTAAAAAGCAATCAGCAACTTAAACTTTAGGCAGCGTATAAAACATCCTCACACATATTGTGGATAGAGAACAGTTTCATTCCTCTTTTAAATTCTTATACCAGAAACGCAAAGGCTTTTTTTCCTATGTACATAAGTAACTTACAGATCTGCAAAGAAGTACTTTGCCCACTTTTAGAGTTTTTGATTATTTGATTTATGAGAATTCCCTGTAAAATGAAGATGCACTTTTCAGGCCCAGTGTGGTGGCTCACACCTGTAATCCCAGCACTTTGGGAGGCCAAGGCAGGCAGATCACGAGGTCAGGAGTTCGAGACCATCCTGGCTAACATGGTGAAACCTCATCGCTACTAAAAATACAAAAATTAGCTGGGTGTGGTGGCGGCGCACCTATAATCCCAGTTATTGGGGAGGCTGAGGCAGGAGAATCACTTGGACCCAGGAAATGGAGATTGCAGTGAGCTGAGATGTTGCCAATGACTCCAGCCTGGTGCCAGAGCAAGACTCCATCTCAAAAAAAAAAAAAAAAAAAAAAAAGAAGATGCACTTTTCATCCAATGAGTATGTATGTATGTGTATATATATAACTTTTTATCTGTGTATATGTAACTTATATATCTGTAATATATGTTATACATACCAGTACTATGTATATGATGCATAAGAATGTAATTTCTGTAAAATGAAAACATACTTTTCATCTGAATATATATAATACAGTAAATATTTTTCAAGTATGTTCTCTTTTGTTAATTTTTTTTCTGATACACAGGCAGTTTTAATTTTTACTTTGCTAAATCAACCTTCAGAATGCCCGCTTGTGAGGTCATTCTTAGGAAGGCCTTTGTCAACATAAAATTTACCTGTAAAATAAGCATGTGTGTTCTCTTCTGGTACTTTTCTCATTTGCATGTGTAAAAATTTCAATCTGTACTCCATCAGGAACTCATGTTTGTGACATAAACTTTCACTAGTTTTCTTCAAACAGCAGGCATTTTTTCCATTAACAATTCATTCTTTCCTATTCATGACTGTTAACATTATCAATCCTTATGTATGTCTTACACAATTTCATTGTTTCTGCATTTCCTCTTCTGTTCCATGCATTTATCTGTCTTTTCAGCTGTTAGCAAACAATTAATTGTAGAAATTAATAGCAAATTTTGTTATCTAGAGGAGGAAGTGTTTTTTCACTCCATTATAAACTTGTTTTAAATGTTGTCACAATAGTAAAAGACAGCAGGTGTCATGCAAAAATGTTAAAACGTTGATATTTTCATTTGTCTTATGTAAAACTGATAAACAGAGAAAGAGTTCACATTTTTTAAAAAATGTGTCTTCCCATTCAAGAACACAGAACCCACCTCCCACTTCTAAGTTTCCCTCTAAGAACCTTCAGTAAAGAAGCTACCTACACAGGTGGATACGGATGTCAAACGAATAGTTTTACCTGAGAACTTTTCGCTACTGAAAATGACTCACGGTATTTTTTGATAGGGGAATGAGTTCTCTCATTAGGCACCTCCTATAATGTATATAACACCATGATTTAAACGTGTAGGTTAAAAATGAAAACACTGTATATGCTTCGCTTTGTGAGTTACATCACTCACATTCTCCACCAAGTGCTCCGGCCGGGGAATTATGAGGGATGCAGAGCAGCTGAGGCTCCGTTTGGCACCGCCGCTCCGAGGGCGTCCTGCGCCCTCCAAGGCCCGGTCCCAGGGGCTGCGGGGAAGCCGGGCCCGGGGACCCCCTCCCACCCTGGGCCGAGCCCCCCGCTCCCTGTGCGGCCTGTCCCAGGCTTCCAGGTCTCTGCTCCCGCGCGCCAGGCGGCGCCCCACCTCCGCGGCATCGCCCGTGACAGCGCCCTGTGGATCCTCCGCAGTTCCGCGTCCCAGATTCGGTGCCCGAACCCGTGCAGACGTGGTCTGTGGGGCCCAGGACCGCTGGCCCCTGCGGCTCCCGAAGCCGAAGAACTTCTTCAAGGAGGTGAGTTCTTCTCAGACCCCCAACCACCGGCTCCTGAGCCGCGGCAGCTCCCTGTCCCCTTTTCACCGCCCCCCGCCCCACACCCAGCCCCAAACCCCCAATCAACTCCCAATCCCCGATCCAACCTCTGCGATCTAGCCCAGAATCCGCGATCCAGCCCGGTCCACCCTTCAGCAGCGACACTCGCAGCCTCCGACCTCTCAGACCTACTGACCTCTCAGACCCAGTGAGCCTCGCAGAGCCGTTAGGCGCGCGCCTCCACCGCGGGGGCCACGCGGCTCCCGGAAGCCGCTCCCAGGCGGCGCCCGCCGACAGGTGGGGCTGCAGCCCGGGGCAGGCGCCGCTGGGCTCGCGGGTTCTCCTGGCGGGCCCGGCAGCCCCAGGACCACAGGCGGAAAATCGCAGGCGCGCAGCCCGCCCTGCCTGAGGAGGGGGGCCAGTCTGGCCACGCACCTACCCTGCTCATCGTCCGCAGGGAGATCTGGGGCTGGCACGGGCACTCCGCGGCCACCGGGCTGGCTTCACGGATGGCCTGGCTTCAGCGCTGAGGCTCTGGCCCTGGGGGCTGCCTGGCTGGTGTCAGGCAGCGGGAGAGGCAAGGACAGTCTGCGGTTGCCCCTTCCCCCACCCGCCCCACCGCTTCCCGTGCCAGGACGGGCAGTTTGCAGCTGCACCTCTGGCACTGGCGCGGGATGGCGGAGCTTCCCTTGAATGACGTCGGGGTCGCTGAGTGCACAGCCTACCTGGTCTGAGGGTCCTCTCCTCCTGGACACCTCTCCGGATCCTGGACCCTGGCGGTGGGCAGTCCACACAGATTCGAGACTGAGCGGCTGCACATTCTGACTGGGTTTGCTGAGGTACTTCCCCTCATACTTTGTTTGTCCTGGGACTGGGGGTTGTGGAAGGAAAGACTGCTTTGCGATGCTGCATAATAAATATGGTTCTAGAAGTGCAGGTGTTAGAAATATCTTCCCTAATTAACCACACTGCTATGTAAGTAAAAAGGAAATCTGAAAATTTTAGTGGAAAATTACTTCTTCTGAAACTAATCTTGATGTTGGACTTCTTTATTCATTAGTTTCTCTTTGATATTCATATCATCCCCTTAACTTACTCTTCTCTCACACCAACCTGCACCGCCCCCCCAAGGCTGTTGTAAAGAATTATCTTTAAAAAATCTTATAAGCAGCTGGAACATTTTCATTCCAGTTGATCAAAGAGATCGCTCATGGTTCTGTAACTAGAGCAGAAATATTAGAAAAAGGATAAAATCTATTGTGGTTGTACATAAAGAATATTACTTCCAATTTTATACAGAACTGTAAATTAAAAATAAATGAATGGAAAATAGTTATTTGTAAATACTTTGATCATCAACCTTTGATCTATATTCTCCTCCAAAGCATCCACACTTCAGGGTCTCACCATTTAGGTCCAAGTCTCCTCTGTGTCATTACATGTCTACCACTTTCCCTTTCCACACCCCATAGAGCCCAGACGTCAGACAAATATAAGGTTAAAAAATAAACATCTTGGCCTGGTACAGTGGCTCCTGGTTGTAATCCCAGCACTTTGGGAGGCCAAGGTGGGAGGAACACATTGAACTCTGGAATTTGAGACCAGCCGGGGCAACATGGCAAGACCCCATGTCTCTATTAAAAATTAGCCAGGCATGGTGGTGTGTGCCTGTAATCCCAGTTACCCAGGAGGCTGAGGCAGGAGAATTGCTTGAACCTGGGAGGTGGAGGTTGCAGTGAGCCGAGATCATGCCACTGCATTCTAGCCTGGGCGACCGAGCAAGACTGTCTCAAATAAATAAATAAAAAGAAAGTGAAGTTTACGAACTACTTGTTTTAAAAACAAAATCATTTCCAATTTATGTCCCCTTACATTTCTAAATTTTTGCAAGTGCTGTCTCTTCTATCTACGAAAAGTGTTTCCACTTCATTTCCTGCAAACGTTGATTTACATAACACTCAACTCTGACCTACAAAGAATAAGTCTGGCTTCCTATGACGTTCCAGGAGAAAGCGAAAGGCAGCTTGAAAAGCATCCTCCCATCCCGGGTCTGGTATTCCAGTGCAACCACAACTTCCCTCCCTCTTGCAGGTCCCAACACATACTGAGCTGCTCATGGCTCCATCGCTGGGCTCACATTCTTCTCATTGCTGGAATGGAATGACCTTTCTCTGCTTGCTTCACTTGGCTCGATAGCTTTTAAGGTTCTCTTTTAAATTTTACCACCAGGCCCTAAATTTCATCCACCATACATGAGGATGATCCTAGGTGGACATGAGAACCCAACTGGACATCCTGTCTCCAGGTGGATAATAGGCCCCTGGTGGATGTCCAGCCCCAGGTTGACACCAAGGCTCCAGGCAAACACCAGGCCCAAGGTGAGTATTAGGCTTCCGGTAAACACCAGGCCCATGTGGATTACTAGGCCTCAGGCAGACATCAGGCCCCAGGTGTACCCTCGGGCCCCAGGTGAGTATCTATGCCTCAGCTGAATATCAGTCAACAGGTGGATGCCCAAGCCCTTGTGTAAACACCAGACAACAAATGAACATCAGGCCCCAGAGAAACATTTGGTCCAGGTGGATACCTAGGTGGCCTGGTGAACATCAGGCTCCTGATAAACACCCAGGCCACAGAAAGATAACAGGCCACACCTAAACACCCAGGCCTCAGGGGGGTATCAAGCCCCAGCTAAATACCAGGCCCCAAGTGGACACTGAACTCAGGTGCCAGGCTGACACCCAGGCCCAGTTGTACACCAGGTCATAGGTGAATATCAGGCCCCAAGAGGATACCCAATCCCCAAGTAGATAGCAGACTGCAGGTGAACACCCATCCCCAGAAGAACACCAGGCCCCAAGTGAACACCAAGCCCAATGTGGATATCAGAACCCAGGTAGGCACCCAGCCTAGGGAGTACTCCTAGGCCCCAGGTAGACAAGGTCCCAGGTGGGCATCAGGCCCAGGTAAACCCTCAGGCCCCACGTGCACACGTGGCACTGGGTGAATAATCAGTCCCAAATGTGGACAGAGGATCCCAGGTGAACATCAGGCTCAAGGCTGACAGCCAGGCAGCAGGTTTATATGAGGACTCAAGTGAAAACTTCGCTCCAAATGGACATCAGACCCCAGGCAAAATTCAGACCTAGATGGATACCTAGGCTCCAACTGGACAGCTAGTCCCCAGGATTTCAGGCCCTAGGGTGACACCCAGGCTCCAGGTGGACACCAGGCTCATGGAAGAAATTAAGATACAAGTTGACACCTAGGAACTCGGTAAACACAACGGCACACGTAAATTACTAGGCCTCAGGTGAACACCCACGCCCCAGATTGACACCAGGCCCCACGTGAACATCAGGTCCCAGGGTGACATTAGGCCTCACGCAGGTACCTAGATGCCTGGTGAATATCAGGCCACAGATTGAAACCAAAGCCACAGAAGGGTATCAGACCCCATGTAAACACCCAGGCCCCAGGTGGGAATCAAGACCCCCCGGTAAACACCAGGCTCCTAGTAGACATTAAGGCCCAGCACAACGCCTGGCCCCAGGTGAACAACAGGCCTAAGGTAGCTATCAGGACCCAAGTGGATGCTGAACTCAAGGTATGTACATCAGGTGTACCATAGTAACCCACATGGGGCCTGTTTACTGGTATCCAGCGTCCCAGTTGGACACCAAGTCACACGAGGACACAGACCCCAGGGACACCCAGTCTCGGGATGGAAATCAGGCCCTAGGCAAACAGAAGGCCCCGGGTGAACATCAGGCCCCAGGTGGGCATCCAGGCCCCAGGTGGACATCAGACCCAAGGTAAATACCCATCCCTAGGTAGACACGAGACCCTAGGCAGGTTATTGGTCCCAGGAAAACACCCAAGCCCCAAGGAGAAATCAGACCCTAGGTGAACTCTGGTCTGCAGGTGCACATCACGCTGGGCATCCATCTTGGACCTTGTGTTCACCGGGAGCCTATGTCCACCCCTTGGACCTGCTGTTCATTTGTGGCTTGGCGTTCACCTGGGCTCTGAGAGTCAACCTGATGCCTGATATCCACCTAGGACCTACACAGCCACCTGGGGCCTGATGTCAACCTGCAGTGTAGGCATCCACCAGGGGCCTGATGTCCACCTGGAACCTTGATGTCATCCTGGGGCCTAATGGCCACCTGGAGCCTGGTATCCATCTAAAGCCTGGGTTCTGCTTGGGGCATTATTATGCCCCCTTGAAGACTCGGTATCCAACTAGGGCCTGATTTTCACCTGAGACTTAATATCCACAAGAGGCCTGGGTGTCCCCCTGAAGCCTTGGTATCCTCCGTGGGCCTGAAGTCCATCTGTGACATTCTGTCCAACTGGGGCCTGGGTGTAAACCTAGTGCCTGATGTATACCTCAAGTCCAGTGTGCACCTGGAACCCGATGGCCACCTGATGCCATATATCTACCTGGGGCCAGAGTGTCCACTTGGGGCCTAATGTTCACCAGGAACCTAACTATCCACCTGGGGCCTCATGTCTGCCTGGGGCTCAGGTGTCAATGTGCGGCCTGGGCATCACTTGGGGCCTGATGTTCAACTGGAGCCTGGTGTCCACCTGGAACCTATTTGTCAACTGGGAACCTGATGTCCGCCTGGTGCCTGATGTCCATTTGGAAACTGGAGTCCAACTGGGAACTGCCATACCCCTAAGACAGCGTCAATCTGGTGTTTGATGTCCAATGTTCACCTGGGACTGTCCACTTGAGGCTTGATGTCTGCCTGGAACCTAGGTCTCTACTTCGGTCCCGAATATTGACTGAGGCCTGGGTGTCCACTTGAGGCCTGATGTCTGCCTGGAACCTAGGTCTCCACTTCCGTCCCGGATATTGACTGAGGCCTGGATGTCCACTTGGGGCCTTATGTCTACCCAAAAAGGGCTGTGGCACCATGCACCCCTCCCTATTCCTGGGGAAAGTCTGTGGAGAGTTGCTGTACACCCAACCCTCACAGTTCAGGAACATGCCCTCCTGAAGACACGATCCAGGAAACTGACTTCTTGGCCCAGGTCACTGCTCAAGGCATGAAGATCTGGAGGCAGCACTGGGAACAGATGCAGCTGCAATTGCCCAGGCTCCCCTCCACCAAGTTGTGCCGCAGGCCGCTGGGGGCTTCCAAATCAGGTGCTGGAATTGGAGCCCTGGAGCCTCGCCCCATCCTGCTGCCAGCGGGAAAAGGGCAGTGTCAGAGAATGTTGCCCTCACCACTGCCCCAGGCCTAGGTCAGCCTGCTGGGCTACTCCTCAAGGGCAAAGGCCACGTGGGTCATCAGCCACTGCCACCTGATATAAGAAAGGGGGCTGAAAGAAGGCTGCCTGCTGGCAAAGCAACCACAGAGCCAGCCAGCCAGTGGCACCCAGGACTGCAAGAACTTTCTCCAAGGTAAGCTCTCAGCCTTCTTTGGTTTTGCTGTACTTTCTAAGTTGTGATTTTCTGAAAAGTGAGTAGGACATTTTCAGGGCAGCGTTAGCAATTTCTAGGCCTAATAGCAATCTAGGAGGATCCCAGTCACTCCTATCCCCACTGACACTCAGCGGCCCACAGGTGAAAATCCAGAGATGGCTTGATTCCGTCTGACATTTCATTTCACTGTGGTTTCCAATGTTTCTTAGGAAACTGGGCCTAGGTTGGTTTGTTTCTTCTTCATACCATCCTTCTCATACTTTCTTTGTGTTCTTTCCTGGTTGCTATTTTCACTTTTCTTATACTGCATACGTAGGTCCCACGTTTCCGTTCTTTCTTCCTTTCCAGTCTGTGTGTCTTCTGTGCAATGCCTATGGTAGGTA